TTCCATATTTTGTACCTATCTCAGTAGTGAGTACCTGATAACAATCTCGCTACCCGTGGTTCTCACTGAATTTGTTTTTCCATTTTCAACATCAACTAGCTGCTGAAATGTATCTAGCCTGTAAAGTCCTTACGTTTTCACTTTGCTTTCATTTGTTAGAATTGGTTGTTCCTGAAGTTGACCAAAACATACTCACCGAACGAGAAACGATGCGATTTTCTAAGGCAAGGGCAACCCGAAAGTAAGGCATTACATTTGAACTGTTTTTTTCATGAAGAAAGTCATATGAATTGAACTTAGTAGATGTATTTTACCTTGAACTAAAATTTGAATGCTAAAGCACCCTTTTGTAGCTCTTTAAAAAGTGAGTGTAAATTTTCATGATTTTTGTGACAATTCCTTATTTTTAGATAGTGAGTGTAAATTTTCACATGTCAAAAGAGCTTTGAACTAATATGATATTGTTCCCTTTATAACATCACGGCTTTGCTAACTCTTTGCATTTGTTTCTTAATGTCTCATAATTTACTAACACTATTCTGTTTTACAATTAGTGACACTATATTTAGTATCACTAGCCCTCACCTTTCCCGACGCTTTTTAGGGTCATAGAAACTTTCAGTGACACTAAATTAGTATCACTATAAGTCCTTTTTCTACTAGTGCCCGAACACTTCGGCCACACACAATGCGATAACAAGCTCCCTCCCGGACCACCAGAATTGATTCCGAGATACCTTTCCAGATAAAAAAGGGATTATTTCCCGCTCCGAAATCTAACACATACTTATTAGGAAAATAACGAGCCTTCAATAATTTGCTTACAAGAGCTCTAGGATATTTTAAAATTTTCCAAACCTGCTTCCCCAGCATTGCTAAATTAAATTCCCTCAATTTTTTGTAACCCACCCCCATACTCTTCGGAACACAAAGATCATCCCAATTTTTCTATTTAATACCCTTTCCTTTGCTAACCCTTCCTTGCCACCAATAACAATTCATAGCCCTCTCAATTTCCTTGCAAAGATCTAAAGGGATTAAAAAGACATTCGTTGCATGCATATTGAGGGATAGCTTGTAATCCTTGTATAACAGTTTTGAGCAATACCTCTCTCCCCGCTCGAACAAGAAGCGGTTATTCCACCATTGAATTCTTTGAACAATCCGCTCCTTCATATAACCAAATATTTCTTTCTTCTTTCTCCCAACTAAGGAAGGCAGCCCAAAATCTCTTCCTCCTCCTCTATCCTCTTTAACCCCCAAGACCTCCGTCAATTAATTTCTATTATCCCACTCCACATTTGAATTGAAATGAACACTTGATTTTTCAAAATTAACTAGTTGCCTTGAAATTTGAGCATATCTAGTTAAAATATACTTCCTAACATAACACTCCTATTCACGTGTCCTGAAGAATAAGAAGCTATTATCAGCAAAAAGCAAATGGGATATTACCGGAGCATTCTTTGCAGCACGTAGCCCTTGCACTTCGGCACTAGCCTCCTTTGCTTGAATTGAATCAGCTCTAGCCTATATATTCCGTATTATAGTATCTTTAATTTGACCTCCTTCTTTACAGAGAAAATGGAGGTCACTAGTTAACTATTTCGCAAAAATAAACCAGAAGTTAATGGTGTTAACTTTTCCGTTTAGTTTTCCTTGCGATATTGATGCTAATAATCCCTACTTTTACGTATTTTGCAAAAATATTCTCTACCAAAGTTCACAATAATAATCCCAACTAGTTAACTATTTCATAAAAGTAATCTGGGAGCTAACAATGTTAACTTTTGTGTTAATATTTCCTTAAATTTTAAATATAACGAAGCAAAAATGTATAAAAACATTAACATTTTAAGAATATTTTATATGAGTTTAATCTTAGATATACTATAAATTTTATTTAATATTTAACATTTTTCATATAATTTAATAGAAATATTTCTACTTCAATCTCTATATAATTTAATGGAAATATTTCTACTTTGAAATCTCTATTTAATTTTAATTTCTATTACATATCTTGAAAAATATTGAATATTAAATTAAATTTCTAGTTGAAATAAGATCAAACTGTAAAAAATGTTAATGCTTTATTATTTTCTTGCTTCATTATGTTTAAAATTTTAAAAAGTATTAACGGAAAAGTTAATTAATACCGTTAGCTCCCAGTTCAACTATATGAAACACTTAAGTAAAGGAGATTATTATTGTGAATTTTTTTAGTAACTATCATTTTTGTAAAATACGTAAAAGTAAGGTCTATTGGCGTCAATTTCGCCAAAAAAACTCGACACAAAATTAACATCGTTAACTCCTAATTTATTTTTGTGAAACACTTAACTAGTTGGGATTATTTTTGTGAACTTTTTTGCATTAATTAGAGATTACTTTGTAAAATGTCCAAAAGTAAGGATTATTAGTGTCAATTTCACCAAACTCAAATACAACGTCTTCAAATTTGGACTTCTCCCCATTATTAATTTTACAAATCATATTCTCTACTTTTAGCCAATATAGCATATTATCACCAAGACGGCATATGTCCCTCTTTGTGTCTCTTCATGGCACACAATCAGTGGCGGATCCAGAAAGTCGGAGTTACAGGGTCCCTACCCTTTTATATCTCTAATATGTAATGAATACGTAGTATAAAATTAAGGTGGTTTAGAAAATGAATTGACATAAATAACCGTTCGTTTAGAAAATTAATAATCGTTCGTTTAGAAAAATAATATTTATGTCACAGATAGAAAAATAATATCCTATCTTTATAGTATGTTTACTCCAATAACTTTCTAAACGAACGGTTATTTATGGCACCTTATAATAATAAATCGAGAAAATAACTTTAAATAATACAAACTATCTTCGATGAACCAATAATAATACATACTTTAGTGTAGAATAAAAACAAAATATAATGGAGTCACTTTTTTTAAAAAAAATCCACTAATTTAAGACATTAAAAACTAATATCGAACCAATAAATAATATTCGAAAATACGCTTACTAACTTTATATTTTGATACCAATTTTTTATGAATTAAATGACTAATGTTTTAGTAAAGAATTGCTATGTATTAGTGTTAGTACTATTTATGTTGTTTTCCATTGCCAAAAAAAGTTGTTTTCCTTGATATATAGGGGAAAAACAAAAAGGTCGTTTAGAAAATGAAGTGACATAAATAACCGTTCATTTAGAAAATTAATAATCGTTCGTTTAGGAAAATAATATTTATGTTTCAGATTGAAAAATAATATCCTATCATTATAGTATGTTTAATCCAATAACTTTCTAAACGAACGGTTATTTATGGCACCTTATAATAATAAATAGGGAAAATAACTTTAAATAATACAAACTATCTTCGATGAACCAATAATAATACATACTTCAGTGTAGAACAAAAACAAAATATAATGGAGTCATTTTAAAAAAAAAAATCACTAATTTAAGACATTAAAAACTAATATCGAACCAATAAATAATATTCGAAAATACGCTTACTAACTTTATATTTTGATACCAGTTTTTTATGAATTAAATGACTAATGTTTTAGTAAAGAATTGGTATGTATTAGTTTTAGTACTATTTATGTTGTTTTCCCTTGCCAAAAAAAAGTTGTTTTCCTTAATACACAGGATAAAAACAAAACGGGACGCCTTAGGGATTCAAACCTTGTACCTTGGTGAGCTGGAAAATTTTAAGTTTAAGCATGCATCCATTATTGCGTCACCGACTTCATGTCCTTAAACAGCTTTCTCCTTACATATACATTATATTATTAATTTATATAAAATACATATAATATATATAGGTATTTTTTTGAAAGTTCACGGGGTCCCGGGACCCCGTGGGACCCTTAGTGGGTTCGCCACTGCACACAATATCAATGAAACATATGAAGAAGGCAAAAAAGAGCACTCATGTGCCGTGAACAAATTCCTCAATGATAACCGTGAATGGTTGTGCTTACCGTTACACTAAAAGCAATTGCTAATAGCGTAGCACATCCTCCCTCCTTTATAGAATAGGCAAAGCGCCAGAGCCGTTTAAACTTTAAAACAATACCTACAAGTTGTTTAAAACACGTTATCAGCGCGGTGCTCGTGATAAGAGTGTGTGTTGTCAACTTGAACACGTTAAAATACATTATTAGCACATTTTATTTAGAAAGTTGGCATGTATATTACTAACAGAATTTCTCCTGGACCAAAATATGACTAGTTATGTTTATTGGATAAAAAAGTCACTGCATATATGAGTATTTGGACGAGAGTCACTCTAGTGTATATCAAAACGATAAGTCACTGACATATGATGAGTTGTTGGGAACTAGTCACTAAATATATCACTTTTTTGAAATTTTTTAAAATAAATCATATTTTTGGCTTTAGAATTTAAGTTCGCAATATTCATGGAAAAACCCGTTTATTCATGAAAAATTTCTGAAATAGGAGTAAAAACGTTTCAGAATTCCAAAACATGACTGCCAAATGTTTATTCTCAATTCTCTAACCATGTGTAATTACTATCCAATTTGGAATATACTCCTATTATTATATTTAAGTCTAGTATTGCCTAAACATTACAACAATCACATCTAGGAAAAATTGATTGTAATAATCCTAACTATTGGCGGTTCGCTCATAATAATCCCAACTATCGATTATTTCAGAATAATACCAACTTTAGGGACCTTCAGACAATAATGATCCGACGTGATCGACTATAAATAAATTTTTATAGTTTCTAATGAGATATAGCAGATAATCCTTATAAATAATCCCAAATTTTAATTTTTACGTTTAATTTCTATTAAAAATTCACTTGTTAGAGCAGATAATATGCGATCATGGACCATTATTGGTGGATGGTCCGTATAGTTGGGATTATATAAAAATAATCAATAATTAGAATTATTGTTAGCGGACCGCCAACAGTTGAGATTATTATTTTCAATTTTTTCTTACAAAAAAACAGTGTAAATAAAGAGGAATACTTATTCGCAGCTATTCGTAGTTTCGGCCTCTCGTCGGCGGAATTCGAACCCTAAAATTGAAAATCCGCCCGGTTCGTTCAACCTTCTCAACTTCAAGCAGAATTTTGAAGCAGCAGATTGCAACTCTTGTATCGCTTCCAGAGAAATACTGAGATATGAGTCGGCCGTTGGACGAGGCATTAACCAAACTGGACGGCGTGAAGAAGCCTGTATTCCTCACGAAAGCTCAGAGAGAACAGTTGGCTCTTCAGCGCCGCCAGGAAGAAATCGTCGAGCAAAAGCGCCGTGCAGAGCTTATTCTCCATCAAGCCAACCGACCTTCCAGCGATGGAGCCCCCTCGTATAAAGATAACGGCAGGCCCTCCTCCAATGATGATCGCGATCGCGACAGGGATTACCATCGCTCCCGCGACAAGGACAGGGAGAGGGATCGAGAGAGGGAGAGAGAGCAACGTGAAAGAGACAGGGAACGTGAAAGAGAGAGGGAGCGTGAAAGAGACAGGGAACGCGATTCTGAGCGAAGGAAGCGCGAAAGGGAACGTGAAGATGATGCCAAAGAACGGGATCGTGCTAGAATCGAGAAATCAGCTGATCGGGAGAGAGAGAAGGAGCTTGAAGCCATCAAAGAGCAGTACTTGGGCTCTAAGAAGCCTAAGAAACGAGTCATTAAGCCTAGTGAGAAGTTCCGCTTTTCATTCGATTGGGAGAACACAGAGGACACCTCCCGTGATATGAATTCACTGTACCAAAACCCTCATGAAGCTAGACTGCTCTTTGGCCGTGGTCTTCGAGCAGGGATGGACAGGAGGGAGCAGAAAAAGCTGGCTGCAAAGAATGAGAGAGAGATTCGGGAAGAGATCCGGAAGAAGGATGGTACTGAGGAGACAGCCGGTGAAGCAGCCGCAATAAAGAAAAAAGAGCAGGCAGCTGATTCGTATGACACCTTTGACATGAGGGTGGACCGCCATTGGTCCGACAAGAAGCTTGAGGAAATGACCGAGAGAGACTGGAGAATATTCAGGGAGGATTTCAACATTTCATACAAAGGATCCAAGATTCCCCGCCCCATGAGAAGCTGGACGGAGAGCAAGCTAACCCCCGAGCTTCTCAAGGCTGTTGAGAGGGCTGGGTACAAGACCCCATCTCCCATCCAAATGGCCGCAATTCCCCTTGGTCTTCAACAGAGAGATGTAATTGGTGTTGCTGAAACTGGGTCAGGTAAAACTGCTGCCTTTGTTCTTCCCATGTTGACGTATATCTCAAGGCTTCCTCCCATGAGTGAAGATAATGAGGCAGAAGGACCTTATGCTGTTGTCATGGCTCCCACACGAGAGCTTGCCCAACAGATAGAGGACGAGACTGTTAAGTTTGCACATTATTTGGGCATCAAAGTAGTTTCTATTGTTGGTGGGCAGTCTATTGAAGAACAAGGTTTTAGGATTAGACAGGGTTGTGAGGTGGTCATTGCCACCCCTGGACGACTCATTGATTGCCTAGAGAGACGGTATTGTGTTCTCAACCAATGTAATTATGTTGTGCTAGATGAGGCAGATCGTATGATTGACATGGGTTTTGAACCTCAAGTTGTTGGTGTACTTGAGGCCATGCCGTCTAGCAATTTGAAACCAGAGAATGAGGATGAAGAGCTTGATGAGAAGAAGATTTATAGAACTACATATATGTTCAGTGCTACCATGCCACCTGCTGTGGAACGACTGGCAAGAAAGTACTTAAGGAACCCTGTTGTCGTTACAATTGGAACTGCTGGAAAGACAACTGACCTTATTACCCAGCATGTCGTAATGGTCAAAGAATCCGAGAAGAGTTATAAGTTGCAGAGATTATTGGATGAACTTGCGGACAAGACGGCTATTGTGTTTATCAATACCAAGAAACAGGCTGATTTTGTTTCTAAAACATTGGATAAGGCGGGTTATAAAGTAACTACATTGCATGGTGGGAAGTCACAGGAACAAAGGGAAATCAGCCTGGAAGGGTTTCGGACGAAAAGGTATACTGTATTGGTTGCAACGGATGTGGCAGGACGTGGGATTGATATACCGGATGTGGCACATGTGATAAATTACGATATGCCCAATAATATCGAGGCATACACACATCGTATTGGGCGAACTGGGCGTGCTGGCAAGACTGGGGTTGCAACAACATTTTTGACACTTCAGGACACCGACGTCTTCTATGATCTTAAGCAAATGCTCATTCAAAGCAACAGTCCTGTGCCCCCTGAACTTGCTAGACATGAGGCTTCGAAGTTCAAGCCAGGAAGTATACCTGACAGACCCCCACGACGGAATGACACTGTTTTTACTCATTGAAGTTAGAGTGAACATTTTGTTGTAAAATGTGTTCAAATGGATGAATGACCTGTTGGGGCGTACGACCTATTGGTCCTGGTAATGCATATCACTGGTCTCTTTTACTTAAGTAGTGCAGATCTGTTTTTAATTCTTATGAGTTTGAAAATTTGTATAACATATTTCAGTGACCAGCTCTTCCATCATCTGACTCTTGAGAAATCAGAAATTGAGTTATGTTTCCTTGCAACTTTTATTAGAGGGACACAAATTACTGCATGAGGTGCATGTTTCCTTGAACTATATTGATCCCCCACATGTAACTGTTGGTGTTTCATTGGACAAGTAGTGTTTTCAGATCATACTTGATTTTAAGAATAGCAACCCTCTTATACACGGGATGAGTAAATATGTACTCCCTTCGTCCCATTCAAAGGATCTCACTTTCCTTTTTTGGATGTTCCAGCTAAAAGTTCTAATTTTTTATTTTAGGAAACAATTAAAACTTTTAAATAACAATTTAATCATCAAATATTCAAAATAGTTCATCTATAACATCACAGTTATCATCAATAACTCATTATATTATATACCCATTAGAACTATTTCTCAAAATATACTCGAATTAGCATATTTAATTATTGTGTAAATAATCGTGTCATTTTGTAATGAGAACCTTTGAACGGGATGGAGGTAGTAAATTTTATTTAATTGCTATCATTTTGCCTACGGGATGTGGCATTAAGCATGACTAACATATGCCACTTGGGACTTCGGTAGTAGTTGATACTCCATCCTCTCGAATGTCAATGCTTACTTTTGCTCAGCCTTTATTAAATACAAATCATGTATTTTACAAAACTGGCCTTCAAAAAGGATCTACAGACTACAGCCACAGTATGTCTAAAATGTTAAAAGACAGCAAAGGTAAATTGAAAAAACTAAAATGCAGTGGTGCTTAATACGAGAAAGCACAAATCAATTTGGGACAGACGAAAAATTGATGTAAAAAATGGAGTGAAATAGATCCAGTAACATTTTTTACTGATGTTAAAATCGCTGTATGGTCTTTGGTTCTATATGATTAGTTGCTGGAGCAAGAGACAACCACTTGTTTTTGTAGACTCTGTTAAACTAGTTTGGATATAGTTTGATTTCAATTACATCGGCATTAGACATTCATGCTATACACAAAGCAGTAGCTATTGCGGCTATAATATTATGCAGTTGCTGAATAGTGTGTGTTTCTTAGAAGCGGTGGTCACGGGCAAGGTCTATAGAAGCCACTGTTAGTCTGCAACTGCTATATGTAATTCGTAATCTTCTCTGCGATTAGGTAATTCCAGTCTTGAGTAAATCCTGTACTAGCTTCTCAATTTCATTTTTTTGATATTGAGGGTATCTGTAGGGTCTGATGTTTGGTATGGTAGCACCCTCCTTTATTGTGATTGCATGATCACAATCTCTCATTGAAGGCATGCCATTTGGTGGGTGGAACACTTCTTGAAAATCTGCTAGTATCTCCTTGATCCACCCTTTCTCCTGGTCTGTTTCACCCTGTGCTGATTCCACCCTATCTTCTACCATTTCAGCACTGAACAGGTAATATCCTTCTCCTTGTTTATGGATATTTTTTACTATGCTTTTAAAAGAAGCTTCTGATCTACTCAGAGTTGGATCTCCTTTTAGCATTTGTTTCTGGCCTTTCTCCTCCCATTTGATAGTTAGCTGACTGAAGTTGAATTCCGCATTTCCCAACCCAGAAAGCCATTCTATTCCCAACACAATCTCAGTTCCTCCCAAGTATCATGTATCAAAATCCTGAATTATGTTGGTTTGTTGGACCCTGAGAGTAACAGCTTCACATTTACCGTTATTACTCATATGATCCCCATTTCCAATCTCCACTTTATGCCCCACAATCAATTAACACCACCACTCTCTTGCTACCCCTGTGGCCTTGTATCCTTCCCGTCACTTTTAAAGTTCTGGGAGTTGTAATGCCTGCCTTACTCATGATAGATAATTGCATTGTTGGGATTTCAGCCTCTACTTCATTTAAACAAGATTCCAACTGAGGTATTTCTTTTTCTTCCTCATTATCTGATTCCTCTATTACCACACACTGAAAATGTTTCATTCTGCAGGTGTGATCCTTGCTCCAGTTCTCTCCACATCTAAAGCATAGCCTCTTTCTGCTTAACTCTTGTAGCTCTTCAGGTGATAGCCTCTGACCTGCCCTTAGCCCTACAGGCTTACTTGCTGCTTCACTTCCCTTTTTTTCCCAATGGCAGTCTATCTGGTTAAGTTTGATTACTCAATTTAGATCTCCATTTTGTACCATCAATCCATCTTTGAAATGTTGATGTGCTGCCAACTTCTTTCCATCCTCTTCTTTCCTCCTCTCTATCTCTTCCTGTTTTAAGAGCCAGATTTTTTTCTTCCATCAATAAAGCCCTATCCATCAAATCAACTAAAGTCCTGGCTGGATATAGTTTCAACTCTGCCCTTACTTCTTCCTTCAGACCATTCAAAAATATCCCCTGCATTCCCATATCTGTATGTCGTAAAGGGGCTACAACTAGATCAAACCTTTCTCTATACTCCATGTCACTGCTAGTTTGTTTCACACTCGACAGAGGGCCAAAGGGATTTTTATACCAAATCAGGTTGGAATCTTCGGATTAGAGCTGCCTTAAATTGTTCCCAATTACGCGTTACTGCCTGTTCTTCCCACAATAGGAACCAATTTAAGGCTTTCTCTTCCATAGCCAAGGTAATTATATCTACCTTATCTTCTTCAGCTATGTTGTTGAGCTTAAAGAATCTTTTGACTCTTATAACCCAACCACAAGCATCTGACTCGTTAAAAAGGTAAAACCACCTTCCCACCAGATTTCATGAACAGTCTATGACTATGTCTCACGGTCTCACGGTCTCACGGTATACATGTATGTTAAACTTATACTTCAATCTGGTTCGGTTCGGTATTGGTACTCATAGATGATGGTATGGTTTGGAACCAGTACGGTTCGACTCTCTTTTCCGGTTCGGTATCATGCTGGTTAGGTATTTTTGCCTATCCGGTGGATACCCGTATTGAACCGCCCCGGTCAAAACGGGGAAAACCACATTGACCGGGTAATGGGTACGGGGCAAGGAATACCCATTTTGTTTTTACGGGTAACGGGGCGGTTACAGTATTATACATGCTCGCCCCATTACTCGTCTCGTACCCTCCCCGTTTATTTTAAGTTATATTTTTATTACATTCTTGTCTATTATTTGTCCCACAACTAATAAAAGATGATATTTTTCAATTTCATTGTGTATATATGGATAATAGATGTACAAGCTATAGTGTATGAATGAAAGTTCATAATAGATTTTAATAGTCTTGTTTGATTATTATCACATTTTTTCGTGTTTAATTATTTTTTAGATTAAGTTTTTTAGGTTCAAATTAATTTAGATTGTCTTCTTTCTTATCTTGTAGATATATAAAACTTTAGATTGTCGTCTCCTTTTAAAATATTATTTTTATATTAAAATATCAATGACTCATTTAATAAAACGATTACTTGTAATTACCCGTGGTTATACTCGTTACCCGTTGGGTGGTTATGGACTTATGATTTGGGTAAAAATTACCCGTTGGGTAATGGGGTGGTTATGGGATGGGGGAATTACCAAACAGGGCAGGTACAGTTATATGTACAACCGTCCTCGATCTGGCCCGTTGCCATCCCTACCTACAATCTACCATAGCACGTGTTTATTTAATAAAGGATATTTTTTTAAAGAATTTAGGAAAGTATTATTAACTTAATTTATCCTTAACTATCATCAAATTCAAATATATCGTATTCTTTAATTTTTATTTCTTAAAGGTTCGAACGGATTCAAAGGATTAATTATTAAATATTGAAGAATAAAATCTTATTTCAAATTCTTTTTCCCGATCTTTTAAGTCAGAAACCTCGTATTGCTTCATTTTTAATACAAAATCGTATTTCTACTATATTATTAAAAAAAATTAAAAGTGGTGAAATTTCTATCACTGAAAATAAATCAAATTATAGTGCATAAAATATGAAATATAACTAGAAAGATAAAAAAAAACAATTCAAAGTTTTCTTGGTAACAAATGATTGATGTTTTTTTTTGGAAAAAGAGGGCTTAGATTCAAAGTTAATCATCTTTGACAAAGCAATATAACTCGCTGATCCTAACTTGAGCTTAAAATTGAGTCAAAGACGCTTATCGTAGACCTCTTATCACCCAATCCTAATGCAAAAGTCTTACATCAAAAAATGAAATAAAATTAAGAACAACTGTCTTAACGTGGAAATTAAAATGCAAAATAGCAAAAAAATAAACACCATAATTTGTTCTCTTGAGCAGGAACACCAGTCGCATGTCCGGTGGGTCTAGAAGCTTGGACCCGCTGCCTCCCCAAGTCCCCATTTTTTGGTTTGTCTAGAGACATGCTCTCGCCTGATGGATTCTCTTGTGATTGCGGTTCTCAAATCCTTCTGCGCTTTTGATCCCCTGACGCCTCCTGAATATTGCCTATGTCTCCTTTGATAACACTATTACATGTACCCGTTGTGGACTCGCGCAAACCCTGCCCCCTGTCCCTTCACCCTCTTGATCTGCTTTCCTCGGTTGTCTGGCAATCACTGAACTTGAGAAATTTCCACTAACCACTTATCACTCCCTATTGGACTAGTCCCCCCATCAGCTCAAAGCTCTACCCTAAATGTTTTTTCCAACACTATGTCTTCCTCATATTTTAAGGGAAAAAAATTAGGGAGTTTTTCATATTTGAAATTCACCCCATGCTCAATGCCACCTTTCTTGAGCGTAGATCCATTTTTCAGAGGGTTCCCTACATCCATACTCATCCTAATACTCATATATGATTCACACCTTTCTTCAAATTGGCTCGCATCAAAACTAATAAACTTACCAATATAGTTTCCAATCCTCCTAACAATTCCTAAATTCATGCAACTATAAGGTACATTATGAACCTGTACCCAGTACTCTGCCTCACACAATTTCATTTTATGGGGTATATCATCTGCCCTAACTTCCTTAAGGAGCAGTAAATTTCTTTCAAGCAACCAAGAGCCATCCTCAAGAATACGATTCATATCCACAATATGGTAAAAAGTAAACAGATACATTTTGTCGCTTGTTTCTTTGATGGATACCCCTTTCCCCGGACGCCAAATAGAAGCCAAAAGATCTTTGAAGTTTTGAAATTTGATTTACCGGTCCGTGAGAACAACTCCAACCATCGAGAATTCTTCTCTGTTCTCGCTTGCAGCAAACTCCTCACCTCCCCCGTCATCGAAATTCAGTTCGCTGCCCTCCTCTCCAATAGCCATCTTCTTGTAGTGATTCACAATATCATCCATCAATTGCCTTCGGATTGTTCACGAACCCGCTGCCCTGCCGATCGATTTAGAAACACCGCCGAGAAGCTTCAGTCTTTCCGACTCTGTCCTACAACACTGCCTGCAAATCTGCGACAATCAAAACTCTCCGCGAATAGCCTTGGTAGAGAAATACCATCAAGCACTGAAGCACCAACGGAGCGAATCCCTTACGCTCTCAATTGGCAACACCTTGCGAATCTCAAAAGGTGCTTCAGAAAGGCACTTTGCTAAGAGAAGAGGGAAGGGAAAAAGAGATGTATCCTTCCATCTTCAATTTTTTATTTGCTTTGATTATCGATTAAAGTTGCGCTCTTTGAAAACTAATCCCCTAAAGATTAGCATCAAGGCCCCCGCAACGTACAATCTTTCTACTTGTGTTGTAATCGTTTTTTTCTTGAATAATGTTGTTTAATTGTTTTCTATTTACCCTTTGTTTCCTCAAATTTTTAAATTTCAGTTTTTCTAATTATTTTTTTGTTATGTAGATTTTAAACATTCCTAGAAGTATTATTTACCTCTACTTACATTGCTCTGGATCTCGAAAGGTGAAGATAAAGTTATTAATATATTTCAAAAATTAAAACATTAAAATTACTTCTTATTAACTGCAATACTTATTTTTACATTTAGATCACATGTACCATAAGCACATTGCTACTTTATTAGTCAAAAACCATAACAAAAGTATAAAAATGATGATCACAATATTAATTCTCCAGGTTTAGAGGCCGGATAATTTATAATAGTTTTAAATAATTGTAAAAAGTTGGGATATTTCAAAAAACCATTTGCGATTGTCGAAATCACTCAAACACACACTTCGGTGTGTTACAATTTAATCAATTAGTTTTGCAACCCAAATAATAGTAGTAGCAATACATAAATGTTAATCAGTTAGTTTTTACTTATATTATGTATTTGAAAAATCTTGTTAAAATTCTGGTGTTTTACAAATGTTTATAATAATACTACGTATTTTTTAATTGTTAGTAATTAGGATTAGTAGTAGTAATTATATTACAGCTACATAAAAATGATACGCATTTAACTGAAACAAAGAGTTTTTTAGCCTTTTCAAAAGAGTATTGTTGTAGAAACAAAAAGTTACGGAGTATGAAAGAAGCCAAGGAAATACGGAGTAAGCGGAAACTAAAAATTAGGTGACATTAGAGACTTAGAGTATTACACAATACCCAGTGGAGGCCAACGTAGGGATGGACTTAGGCTGGGTGAACCAAACCGGAACCGGCCCAAACTGGCACTATTCTGGCTCGGATTACCCGGCCCGAACCGGCCTGGCCCGGTAACCGCCGGGTGAACCGGCCTGACCCGGACCGGAGCTACCCGGGCCGGTTTACGGGCCTCACTTCTCCAAAAAAGCTCGGTCGGAACCGGACCGAGGCCCAGCCCGACCCGAACCGAGGCCATCCCTAGGCCAACACAAATATGCGGTCGAATAAGAAAAACTGTCAAACAAAAATAGGAAGATGGTATAATTGTCCATACGTGACTGAAGGAGGCATAATTAGTTAAATACGGTATGGCTGTTAAACGTGGTTTAATACGTACGTGTTTTATTCAGTAACTTGAACAAAAAATACAGTCAAAAATTCGGCAAAAAATGTGTTGACTTTTATAAAATGTGTAAATACGTATACATGTATAATACGACATCACTTAGAAAAATTCGGGTTAAAAATACGGATCTTATTTTGAATGATTAATTTATTGTACTAGTTTTTAGAGCATAAAAAATATATAGTACATAAAGGATAATCAACATACACACACTTTCAAATATAATATCTCATTACTCCATAAAAAAATGCATTCATAATAGCATAAGTTCATGACAAAAAAGAAATAATGATCAAGTCCAAAATAACATGTAAATTATATACTTCGTAAAATAAGACATAATAAAAACAAATAAGAGTGTACACATATTGAAGTAGCAAATCACATTACTACATAAAAGAATAATTCATAATTGCATAAGTCGATGACAAAAGTAAAAATAGTACAGAGTATTTAAGTCCAAGACATAATTTTGCAAAGTAATGTTAGAAAATAAGGCATAATAACGATAGAATGAGGCTAAGTTAACATCATCATCATCTTTATATGATCATCAAATAACACTCAAGTTAAACTCATCATTTTCACATAGATGACAGATGACATGAGAAAGTTGTGGGACTGCTACAATTATTATTGTTTATGTGCAAAAGTTTATACAAAAAAAAATGTCAGGTTTAGAAAAATCTTAATTTTGATATGCTTGTTTGAAAAACAACATCACAAATCTAATCCGTAGTAGTATTTTAGATTTTAGTCTTTTAGGATACTAGCTTTAGTCATCATGCAATTAATTTTAGTATTTAACAATTGTATATTTTGTATTGTAACAATACAAAAACACGAGGTCACGCGAATTGAGTTTTCTTTTTTGCTTTTAAACTACTGTTGATCTCCTATTCATTTGATGTATTCATTCGAGAGATCAAATGATGTTTTTATTTTTTGTAAAATACGGGAAATATACGTTTTATACGGGAAGTGGAAGTTTTTTTTCTTTTTAAACGGATCGACATTATTTTTCGTTTTAAGCGCGTTTTTCTGTATGATTTTGTTATAATAAAAAGGGTAATTTGGACTCCGTAATATTTAATTTTGCCCCTTTAACAATAACCTTGAGCCCATCACTAATTTTGGACTGTTTTAAGCGTGCCTCGGTATTTATCTTTAGAGAATACTTTTCTTTGAAAATTGTGAGTAATGTACATAAGTATTTGGTTATCCCATTAACAATTTCTATGATCAATCTAAATTTAGATGATACTACAACAATGATTTATACACAATATATTTATCAAACTAAACACACTTAAACTGATTACATCAAATTTAAATAGAGTAAATCAGAAAATTATACAATGTTCGTA